CTTGCATCCCTTTTGGTCGATCGTCGTGTGGCGTATCGTAGATGTATGTGTTTCAGTAATATTTCGCAGAAGTTCTAAAATGTACTGGATGTCCTTGGGAGCTTCGTGGTTACCATCACACAACGCGATACTTCCAAGCCCTTCCATTTCGGTGCAGATGATCCCCGCTCAACGTACTCCCTCACTTGATGGTCGTGGTGCTGTCTCATTCGAGTCATATTGTGCGTGTTACGAAATTTTGTCGGCGAACGGCCTGTGCAAGGGACTAGGAGGATGCTACCATTCGAATCCATCGGGATCAGAGTTGGCAGGTTCACTCACGACGCCTGTCAGCGCACTGCTACCAAATTCAGACTATCGCAGCCCTGACAGCGGCAACAATCCCATATGTGGCAGGATATATCGTTCAGTATGGTGCGTCTCCATTTCTGCGCGACATAGGCCTGTCTGTGTTTCCGGTGCAGTAGCATTTGAGGACGCGTCTTCATCTGAGGACCCTGCCAGTGTTAACTCCCTTCCACGGCCGACATCAGCGTTAGACATTGGTAATTGTGCCTGTCAAGACAACGTTGGTGAGGAACTAGCGCGGCTATCTCATGTTTTAGCAGGCCCGAACTCGACTAGAGGTCGAAATTTCGCCTTTGCTGGACATCCGCAGACTGATCGATCCTAGCACTGAGCGCTCAGCGTCGGTCTGAATTTAAAACCCATGAAACCGTATGTCCTGCGTAACGACGCTGGACAGCTCTGGCTCTGCTGACTTGCATTGACACGCGTGTCTCCATCTGAGTGAAATACACATAGACTTACAGTCTCGAATGACGCTACCAGAATTATTTCACACTTAGCATCCCAAATACAACAGCACTAGCATTCTGCCGGCGCTACTGCGAGAATGACGTCACACCATATGCACGCCATTAGCCGCTCGTATAGCTTAATCTCAGACGTACAACTTGTTAAACATCTCCAAGATTTTGCTCCCAGCACCCATCTACATTATATCCGCTCTGTTTTCTTCTCTGATTTCGATGGCTTGGAGATGCAGCGGCTTGACGAACGCTGAACTCGTCAAGAACATGATGGAGGCCGGTCTCATCCATTCAGAACGTGTGCTAGCAGTTCGTATCGCACATTCTGTTGAGGGGATTCTGGTTGATGTTGGGAACTATCGTCTGCGAATCCGGCATAGGCCATGACGAAGGTGGATCGCGCACACTACGTGCGTTCGAAGAATGCGGCGTATGAGGACTCACCGCAGTGAGTCTCTACATCCCCTATTGACACTTCGTGCAAACCCCATGCTCTGATTGCAGGTATATCGGACACGGCGCAACCATCTCAGCACCACACATGGTCTGTTAAACAATCGACTAATTTCATAATACGGAAACTGAAGAAGGCTGTCCATGATATCGCCTCTAGCATGCCCACGCCGTCGAAAACTTGCTCCCCTTCCTCCGCCCAGGCGCCCGCGTCCTTGACGTCGGCTCCGGCTCCGGATATCTGTGCGCCGTGCTCCACCACCTTGTTTCGGACGGTGCGAATGGCAAGGTCGTCGGCATCGAGCACATCCCCGAGCTCGCGGAATGGTCGAAGGAGAACCTGCGCCGGGATGGGCTCGGGTCTGCCCTGGACGACGGGCGGATTGAGATCATAGCTGGTGATGGGAGGAAGGGTGAGTATTTGGTTTCCAATTGGATCGTGGCTTTACCTGATATGACCTCCTCCAGGCTACCCCAGCGCAAGTGAGAAGCACACAGATTTGTCAGAAAGAGGCCCCTAACTTTGTCCCTTGAATAGGTCCATATAATGCCATCCATGTCGGCGCTGCGGCACCTACCCTTCCTACTCCCCTGGTAGACCAGCTCGCGAAGCCCGGTCGTATGTTCATCCCCGTGGGAACATTGGCGCAGGAGATTCTACAGGTTAGTGGCGCCTTGAAATTCCCAGAGTAGGAGGTCAATCATTATCAACAGGTCGACAAAGATTCCAAAGGCAATATCACGACGGAGTCATTGATGGATGTGATGGTATGTATCTTCTTTTATGTCTTGGTCCAAAACGTGGGACTGAATAGACGATTGTAGTATGTCCCTTTGACAGACAGAGACCAGCAAACATAAGTCTATCATTATGCCTCGAAGTATAAGTGAAGTGCTGTATGATGAGATCGTCGATGCTGTATTCTTAAATGCGCGTCTGTGGAGTAACAAGCTATTGACCAGCCGGGACAATAGTGAGCGGAAATTCAGGTAACATCGACATCATCTGCGCGTTCGACACCCAGCTCCTTCCGTACGGCCAAGAGGTGTGGAGAGAGCTCGCCGTGCGGGCGCTTAATCGGCGTCATTCATGCATCATGATTCGCATTCGCGCAAGTTCGTTCTGGCGGCGGTTCAACCGCACCCCTGACTTCAAATGTTGCGACATTCTCTTGACTTCATCCTCGGTGCAGCTCATCCGCTCGTACAGTTGTACGATGCGTCCAAGACAAGCCGCCAACTCCCAGTGTTCAAATCTCGAGCATTGGAAATCATCTCTGGCGATGCTGACTGTCCATCACGTCAGAATGAGGTACGTCACACGATTGCTTCCGTTGTGGCCCTTAAAGAGTAGAATCCGCTGTTGTGATACATGGCGACAGTCTCGAAGAGGTGATCCATTTTATTTCGACGTGCGATGGATGAAGAACAAGAGCTGAAGATTCACATATAGACGGAAGAACTGGAACTGGCCTTGGATACGGCGCGAGCTACCGTGCGTCGCGAACGAAACAGCATGCTCCCAGTGCATCGCTTGCCCCCAGAACTTCTGACGAAGATATTCTACTACGCGCCTGAAGCAGCAGTTTCGCGGGAAGAAGTTGTCTGGAATCCGACAGTTTTCCGCTTGCGGGACGTCGCGAAGTTGATGGCCGTGTGTGGACGCTGGCGGGAGATCGTTGAAAATACGGCCATTCTCTGGAGCAGTGTCAGCGATTGGGACGTGGAGACCTTCTCACAACGTGCGCAACACGTGCGCTTGGCTTGCCATTTCCGACAGGTCTCGTCGGAAGACGCGATACAGCAGTTTCTGCGAACGAACGGTCTGCGTATTCGAGAATTTCATATCCTCGAAAGCGATATCTACTCTCTCGACTTGTCGCTCCTTCACGAGCTTGAAGCGTTCTCCCTGGCAGGGTTTTCCTGGTCATGGTCCAACATCGATTCGAATCTCCCGCGACTTCGAAGTCTTGCACTACGTAATTGCATAGGGTTTCCACGCGGTCCATTACCATCGCTTACACAAGTGAGCCTACGGAATTGCGATATACACGACATCTCGAGTCTCCTGCGTTTCCTCTCCCAAGTTCCTAATCTTCGGGATCTACATCTCAAAGACTGCTTACCGCGGCATGTTCCACAAGATATTGGCATCGCCACATTCGCATTTAAGCATCTTCGGCGACTGGTCGTCGATGATGAACCGGCAAAAATCGCAGTATTACTTTCCCACATGGCTCTCAAATCTGGTAGCGCGGTGGTCACTCGATCCGACGCTCCAATTGATACTGTGAAATCCGCAATCCTCAGGACCTTCAACGTCGAACCGATCACAAAGCTCGCCATCATACGTCGCCGTCGGAGCCTGACGCTAATCATTTGCGGCCCTACTTCGGCGGCTTGCCACAGTTGGTCGAAATTCTTCGGAACCGTGCGGGCCCAATTGCCCTCCATCATGGACCTCATTCCGGAAGCCCGCCCTCGAGAATTGTGGGTATACGAGTCCCACAGTTCGCACATGGTCACGAAACAGTGGGTAAAGGCGACGAAGATGGACCTCCCCGGGATCCCCGACTCTGTGGAGGCTATCGTAGCAAGTGTGCCGTTCTTCCCCGAACTTCTTCGATCGATCGACGTCCCGGACAACGCCACTTCGGTGGCCTGTCCGGTTCTACGGACGGTGCATATTCTGGTTGACGGGAAGAAATACCACGTCCGCCGGTGGCGATCGCCGTGGACAGCCCACCTGTCTACAGTTGCCGCTCGGAGGGCGAACGCCGGTCATCCGATACAACGGGTGAAGTTCACCTCCTTTCACACCTCCAGCAAACGAAGCTTTGCGCTCGAAGGGATCCGTGCTTTGCGAAGCATGGTCGATCACGTGGACCGCGCAACGCAGATGGATTGTCCTATCATGGAAATGCCTCTCGTTTGCACCTTGCCCGATGGCCCCTGGTGGCCTTCCTGGGTTGACAAGTGGGACCTGCGTTATCCAGACACTGGTTGGAATTCGGACGAGGAACTGTGTTCTTATTACGACATGGACTCGGAAGACCCATACATGGACGCAACCCAGGACGAGTTTGAATGGTCCCCGTCGATGTGAGGCATATAGGTCTACTGGATGCTGTTCGCTTGCATGCATATTTCCTCGCAGCCGGTGCTAATGTTGAGCTAATCCGGACATGACTCATGACATTTATTCACATGTTTTTCCCTCTCTTCGATACCCTTCTGTTTAAGAGACCCACAGAGCTCGTCATCTAGACAATAATTTGAGGACGAGAGCGCACGATGTGAAGGGCTACACTCTATATTGTGTCTTCGACCGCACGTTATCGAAGTAATTATTACTCGAACAGGAAGCGAAGCGAATATTGTACGGATGGACTACTTAGACATGCCAAATTATCATAATCTCAGATGTAACTGACAGCGCAGACTACGGCCGGGTCGAGACATCCCATTACAAGGTTTCCAGAGTCTTCATCAAGCAAGGCCATCCCACTCCGCGCAGAGGCATTGATCATCTCCCCATAAGTATCCCCGAGTAAAAATGTTAACAAATCTTCTGGAAGCATGGGTGACAACTCACACAAGTACAATTTCAATGAGAAAGCTTCATGGAGAAAGATTTAAAAACTGTTCAGAGGTCTATTGTGAATTTATCTCCAAACATGACCGTAACGTTGAACATGCAAAAAGGAGCTGCGGTCAAACACGCAAAAAAATGAATGCCAGGACCGTGGATTGAACACGGGACCTCCAGAAAACGGATGGCACTATTTGGCCCACTTCAGTCTGTTGCTCTCCCAGCTGAGCTATCCCGGCTTCCGTAACAATGTTATACAGAATACAGTGATTGATGGTAGATAAATAACTTTTCCCAAAACTTATCATCTTGAGCTTGATGGTGGCAGTTCAAGTAATCCTTTCCTCTTGTCCACAAGACGTAACCATCACATCAACTACTTTCAGCGAACAAATTTTATTGCGGGATGGACTGTCACATCTTTCATTGCTTTGTGGAAATCCCAAATCTCACAGGATCTTATGCTTTGGAGCATTGCAAGCGGTCTTAATTTTCGAGTCTACATCCCGCAGTCTCGACTGCTCAGCCTCCAGCAGTAAAACGCCAGAAGTTGACGTATATCTGCCCTGGTCAAACTGAATGCTCCCTCTTCGTGTGGTAGCCCGGATCTGGATCTAGTTGCTGATGTGATGGGACGGCCCACGTCTGACAACACAGTCTCCTTGCGGTATGGAACGAAATGCACATGCGTATCGGCCATGAATGGGATAGGATCGTCTTCCGCGACGCGGAACATGGCCTTCCCCCGCTCAGACGAACGTGCGACACTCACCACCTCCTGATCCTTCCTATTCAGGACCACGTTTTCTGCTAGAGGCGCACGTCGATTACGTGCAAGAGTAACGGGCGGCATGTTAACAGCCACGTTCGCGGAAAGTATGCTCCTTTCCCTTCTCCGCTATGTCCTCTCGTCCGGACTCTGGAACCCGTGCTTGGGCTCGTGTACTCGGGCGGTCGCAGTATGAGCGAACGTGCTCGGTCTGAGTTTTTTAGACGCCACTGATTCTTGTTGTACGCCTATAGTATGTCTTGGCGTGCTCTCGTTCCGGGATCTTACCCTCAGAAGATAACAGACGACCTTTTCTCTTGGAACAGAGCGCCCGTGCTAGAGGTACGCAGACGCAGGCGTGCGAGATCGGCTAGCCCATCCTCGAGCCCGCGATTGTCTTATATGTAGCAGACAGTCATAGACACCACGACAACGGTCCTTACTGTCCCCCGACGATGCGGTCCCTGGTATCGGAACTCCTTCCACCGTCCTCCATTCCGGAGGGAACTCTCGTAGTGGTATCCGGAGTAAGCGGTCTGCTCGTTATCCTTCTGGCTCTGTACCTCTCTTGGCGCAACCTTTCCGTCTACTGGCGCTTCTTCTATGCGTGCTTTCTGAAGCCGTTTGATCATTCCAGCACGAGCGACGGAAAGGCGACAAGCCAGCAAGCAGCGCTCGAGAGCTTCTATCGCAGTCAGGCCGGTATCTATGACGCCACGAGAGCGACTCTGCTCCGCGGGAGGGAAGATATGCTGCGGCTCGCTGCCTCCCAATTGAAGCACCGTGCGATACAAGGGCAGCCAAAGCCCATCTGGGTCGATGTGAGTAGCCGTTTATATGGGGCCGATCCAGCGCCGCTTACCTGTGGATCATTGCCCCGATCTAGATCGGTGGAGGGACCGGGTACAATATTGAGAAGATGAACGCATTCGTTCCTATCGCGGAATTCTTCTCCGCCATCTACCTGGTCGATCTTAGCCCCTCTCTGTGCGCTGTCGCACGGGAGCGGTTTGCTGCACTGGGCTGGAATAATGTCCATGTAGTATGCGAAGATGCGCGTACGTTCTCCTTTGCCCGCACGGAGAAAGCAGGTCCCTCGTCCAAATCTGAGTCGCAAAGGCATCACACGAAGGCAGACTACATCAGCATGTCATATTCGCTAAGCATGATACCGGAGTGCGTCATGACATCCTCTAAGGTGTCCTCACGTGCTTACATCCGCTATCGCTTCCAGCTTCTACTCCGTCCTTGATTCCATGGTCGATCTCCTCGCGCCACTGGGAGTCATATCCTGCGTCGACTTCTACGTGCAGTCCGCGTCAAGCTACTCCCTGCGGACGTTCACTGGGGGCCACCATCTGCGCCACGTCAACTGGTTCTCCCGCTTCTTCTGGCGAAATTGGTTCCGCTTCGACCGCGTTCACCTCGATGAAGGCAGGCGAGACTACCTCGAGCACCGTTTCGGCACGATTCTGAACGTCAATGGGCGGAACTATAAGCTCGGTGGCATCCCGTATTATGTCTGGTTGGGCTGCCAACGGACCGCCACCTCTACCGCGACTGGTACACTGGGGAGGGAGGCGGCAGAGCGGATTGACGCGATCGCGACCGAGAGCCCGTACCTGTCGCCGGTACACTACGCCGAGACGCAGCGTGCGAACGCGGATGCGGCCACGCACGCAGCGACACTGCAGCTACGTTCAAAGGGTTTCGAGGCGGCAATCCTGAACCTCGCGACGAATGTGCCACTGCCGTCGTTTTTCTACCAGAACGAGCGCTGGAGGCTGTACTACGACGAGACGCTCCCGAAGCATACACAATTCGGGAAC